AATAAATTTTTAGTTGGGAAAGCAAAATATTCTATTGCTAATTTTTTTCCCACTAATTTTAATGAATTAATAGAGCCAAATATTGGCTTAATTAAAATCTGAAACCAAGTTTTGCCTGCTGCATAAATCAGAAGTCTGGTTTTAAAAGAACCAGCATAAAATTCTCAACTGAAAAATGGGGAACAAGAGCACAGATAAGCTATAGAAAGAAATATTCTACCCAATGAACCAGTAAGAACCTCCAAAAGATGAAAATGCTAAAAAAAAAAAGATGACAGTCCTGGAAAACAAGTAATAAAAACCTTGGTCTCATTCATGTCAGGCCACAAAATTAGAATTCTGGACAAACTCTGACCACAACTATTATCCAAACATCCTCAGGTATTCAAAATCATCAGCTCCTCTTGCTTCCTTTTCTTTTTAATGTTTCTGGGATCAATTCCTGGTCATGTAATACAGGAAGAGGTCTACTTGAAAGTCCTTAGAGATTTCCTGGCTTGCGGCCACCTTGGCCCTTATCTTTCTCCTTTGAATCTCATCATCTCTCCCTCCTGGATTTCTTTTGCCCATCACGTCAACAATTCTAAAACAAGGAAATGTAAAACATGACCTTTATTAGTTCTTCTTACCCTATGACACAACCTCTTATCTCAAAAGTAATGATTGATGATATAATTATTTCTATATTTTGATGAGCAACTAAAACCTGTTTTGATAATCCCTCCTTAGTTCCATTCAGTCCTTCCCTATCTCCAAAATAAAAATCTTTAAATTAAAAACCTGAAACCTACTGCCATCAAGTCGATTCGAACTCATAGGATACTACAGGACAGAGTAGAACTGCTCCATAGGGTTTCCAAGGAGCGGCTGGTGGATTCGAACTGCTGACCTTTTGGTTAGCAGCCATAGCGCGCCGTAACTCTCAACCACTGCACCACCAGAGCTCTGAAATTAGCCAATTCTGTTAGATCCCAACCCTAAGGACTAGTAATTTTTCCCTGATACATGGGATGAAAATTATATCCCAAGTACACACTTAGATAGGGCAAAAGGTAAATAGGGAACTCCTTTGCCACCTGACACATTTCTAAGCAAGAGTGTTAAAGGTGCCAAGAATGAAAAGTTACACTTTTTAACTCCAATCCTGGGCTTTAAAACTTCAGAGACATACTGAAAAGTATTATTTAGTTCATGTACACAATTTTACCGAACATTACTAATACATTTTCCACAGAAAGTTCATTTCAAAAGTATATGATTATGCTGGCTCTTTAATGCACCAAGTGCAAAACTGGAAACATTCTTGAAACAAAGATGAGCTTCTTTTGCTGTAATCTTCAGGAAGTTTTAGGTCTGTTATTCAACTGACATTTCCTTCACCAAGAAGCCATCTCCAACTATTTGAGGCCATGTTAATGTCTCCCTTCCATAAACAAGACAGTTACAGCCAACATCCTACCACGGGCATATGATTACCTAAGACCTTATGTTGGTCTCCAATAGTTTTACACCTAATTTTTTGCCTTGATAAACAAACTCTCCCAGTTGCCGTCAATTCCAATTCACAGGGGCCCCATGTGTGTCAGAGTGGTACTGTGCTCATTAGAGTTTTCCATGGCTGATTTTTCAGAAGTAGATCACCAGGCTTTTCATCGGAGGTACCTCTAGGTGGACTCAAACCTCCAAGCTTTAGGTTAGCAGCCAAACGTGTTAACTATTTGTACCATTCAGGGACTCCAAACAAACTCTAAACTACTCTTAAGTAGTATAAGCATATTTGTTTTTCCTTTACCTAGCACTTGTTACCATACAATGCTGTACAAGCCTGCAGAAAACTTAATTTAAGAAGTGTTACGTTTATTCGATTTCCAGTGCTCTTTCTGAAGTGTTGTTTCTGCATTTAGTATAACCCCATGAGTCTGAGGGTTGACAAGTAGAAAGAATCAAGTTTTGGAAAATCTAAAAGGAGAAAGTATCATATTAAAAAATAAAGAGAAGTCAGACATTGGTCCTGGAAATTGACTCTCTTCTCTAACAACCATTTAACCTCCCCATCACACACATACATCCATTCCCAAAATTAAAGGGGAAAATAGGTATGGGTAATTCATGCACAAGCTGAATTATATAGCTAACTGTATTCTTGGCCCCAATTTTCCTTTTTGAATATAAGAAGAAGAAATGTAAGAAGGAAGGAATCTTATATTTTGAAGTCTACAGTCTGTCAGGTATGTCACTAGCTATTTTACATGTTACGTAATTTTGCCAAGGAAAAAAATGAGGCTCAGTAAATTTAAATCGGTTACCTAAAGCCACATATCTGTAATATGAAGATTGAGACATTCCCACCTAGGGCCAAAGTCTTTGTTTTTCCCCACTACATTCAACTAGAGTTCACCTCCACAGTTCAGTCACTCACTGAGAAAACATCAGGTGCTTATTACAAGATAGTAACAGCTCTAGGCATGAGTGATACAGAAGCGTACACGACAGACCAAGCCCTACTCTCACAGAACTTACATTCTAGTGATAAAAGACAGAAAACTAATAACCAAACAGGATATTTTCAGAGTTATAGTTTACAACTATGATTTATACAGGATGATAATATTTCTAAATATCTATATGTGACTAAATAGTTGCAAAAACTAACCAGTTGCCATAGAGTCAATTCCAACTCATGACAACCCCATGTGTGTCAGAGTAGAACTATGCTCCATAGTGTTTTCAATGGCCAATTTTTTGGAAGTAGATTGCCAGGCGTTTCTTTGGAGGTACCTCTGGGTGGACCTGAAGCTCCAACCTTTCATTTAGCAGCTGAGCACATTAACTCCTTGCAGCACCCAGGAACTTCACAAAAACTAAACTGGGCAGTAAAACCCACTGACAACTGGAGCCCTGGTGGCATAGTTGTTAAGAGTTTGGTTGCTAACCAAAAGGTCAGCAGTTCGAATCCACCAGCTGCTCTTTGGAAACTCTATGGGGCAGTTCTACTCTGTCTTATAGTGTCACTATGAGTTGGAACTGACTTGATAGCAATGGGTTTGGTTTTTGGTCTGTCTGGTGGCCCACTCATGAACCACTGCTCGGAATTTCTCTAGAAAATAAAGTGCCTATATGAGATATCAGAACAGACAGTTTCAACAAGGTTCTCAAACCCAAAATTCCATCTTTTGTTCATTATTCACTAATCTATTGCTGAGTTCACTAATCTATTTGAAGAGTTGCTTTGTAAAAATCAAGGGAGTGTTGTTAGGTGATATAATGCCCCTATGAGAAATGCAGGGGGGGTTCAACATCGGCATCATGGTATCCATTGGGCAATGGCGTCCTGCTCTCCGAGGAGGGCCAGCAAAAACTGCAAGACTCAGAAACTAGAGTGGTCAGTAGCTACCAGAAAGTGCCTGGCCCCAGTGTGACAGGTGCCATTACCCACCACACTCTAAAAAGAAACTCTACTGTCTCTTAAACTTGGAACATACACAAATACTAACAGTTTTGTTTTAAGCAATAATCAGTGTAACTTACCAACTTTCTTCCCTCACTTATTCATGCAAGTTACCTAAATTGGCTGTTGGCAAGAAGTTTTTTACGGCCTACTTTTTAAATCGCCCCCTATTATATTTATAATGTGTTGCATAATTTGGGTTAGCCCCATCACTAAGAGTTTGTTTATGTTTGTAAATTACCTTGGAACTCCTGAGGAAAACTGTTAAGGGCGTGAAAGGGCCTCAGTACCTGGTGGAAGCCTTTCTAGAAACCATCTGCTAAGGGACAGCACTTCATTCAGCCGGCTAGCACCTTTCTGCCAAAGCACCCTTTGCAAATTTATATTTGCTCCTTGAAATTACCACACAGGGAGTTGAGGCTGTTTTAAGTTCATCAGTGTACAGTGTACACCTTCTATCTCCTCGTAGGCCGGTCACACTCCAGCTACCTTCTAGAATCTTTCCCACCCTTGCTTCAGAAAGGAGCAGCAATCCTTCCTATCAGACGAGGGACATCCACAGGCTAGAAGTGTGCAGTAAACTTTCAATTGGCTACCAACCTCGCCCAAAAGTCCTGTCACTTTACTAAGGAGATAAATGCACCCCCCACCCGCACCCAAAATAAAAAATGCAAACTGTTAAAACCTAGAAAAGAACTAGTCCATCTATTGTTGGTGAGGAGGAATTCCGAAATTTTTTCCCAGATTCCCGCCACCACCCACCCCAACACCGGAGTCCTCGAAGGCTCGCCGGGGTCAGAAAGGAACCACTCTCTCCTACAATCTAGGGGCGCGGCGGGAGGGGACCCAGGAAACACACACCTCAGATTGATCCTCTCGCGCGAGGGAACAGAGAACAGGGGCACCCAGTTCCTCCAAGCAAGGCGGAGCCTCTGCCTCCCCCGTAATCAGAGACTTGGCCCAGGTACTCGCAGCGAGGCGCGCGCGGATATCACTCTGGGGCAGGCAAAGCAAGTGTAATCCGACGCGCCCCGCGCGGCCGCGCCTCCGCCTCCCCCGCGACTTCCTCCCCCGCCCTCCTGCTCCTCCTCCCGGTCGGAGGGCAGACCCTGGTGGCGCGGCTGACGCATCCTCTCCGGATGCCTCGGGCCCAGGCTCCTCCGGCCCAGCCTGGAAACGCGGAAGTGGCGGCGGGAACCGAGGGCGGGGAGGCTTGCGAACCGGCAGGCGAGCGAGCTAGGTCTCCGCCGCCCAATGAACGTGACTGCACGGGGACACGGGTCCCGCCGGGTGGGGCCGCGCCGCGGCGGATGCCACAGCCCTCGCCCCAGGCGGCGGCTACTGCCCTATGCCTCCGCCTTGGCGGGCACCAGACCCTCCGTCCCGCCTTGCAAGCCCAGTGGCAAGCAGGGAAGCCTCCCTTGGGGCTAGGCCGGGAGGAGGATGGTGCCTTTGCCGAGTTCCGCTGCCCTCCCCCACGCCGGCCACGTCGCCATCTGGCCTGGAGAGAGGATACACTCGCCCGGCTCCACGCCGGCGGGAGCTGATTTACCTGGTATCTTGTCGCCCGCCCCCGGATCTGGCTTCCTCCACTCGACACTCCCAACAGGCTGGTTTCTCTGGGCCTAGAAGCACATCTAGGAGGCCGGCGGACCCCTGGGGCCCGCCCGTCGGAACTCAGAGCCCTCGCCGGGCTTCCCCGCGCTCTGGAGGCGAGCTTGGCCTTCTGACCCCCCGCCTGAATGTCAGCGCAGGGACCGCAGGGAAGACCAAGCCTTAGCAACAGGGGGTAGGATGCTGAGTACAGTCTCCTCAAGCCCAGTCACTTACAGGTCGGGGGAGGCGGAGAGCCCTGGCAGCAGAACAGCAGGCTTCCCGGTGCACCCCTCAAAACCGACCCTGCCCACTGAGCATGCCCAGCTCACTTGTTGGAACTACAAGTGCTAGGCGAGACCAAGTGGACCCAAGGCGGGCACAGATGAAGTTCAAACAGACCCCACTTCTTTAAGACCTCAGAGTGCTGTAAAAATAACCTTTCGACTCGAGGGCGATGGGTTTCGGTTTTTCTGGTTTTACCGTGGTATTGGAAGATACCTCATGGATGGTCAGACCTTCCAAAGGAAGACAGCCAAATTAGAACCAAAATCACTGTGTTTTGGTTTTTTCGTCAATTCTTTATTAAGTCACTTATTTAATTTCTTTAAATACCACAGAACCCCTATAATTCGCCCAGAGGAATTTGTACATCCTCTGGGATTCATTGGGTCCCAAATTCATAGTAACTCCAGGAAACCCGCATAAGTCTATCCAATAGAACAGTGGTTCTCGACCCTGGATACACATTAGAATCACCCAGGAATATAAAAAATTATCAATGCCAGCGTCTCATCCCCAGAACAATTGAATCAGTCTCCAATGAAGGGTCTGGAAATCTTTATAGTATTTTAAGACTGTGTATCTCAAAGTGTAACTATGGGTGTCAGCAGCGTCAGTATCACCTGAAAGTTTGATACAAATGCAGATTCTCCAGCCTGACTCCATTCTACCTGATTCATAAACTCTGAAGTCAGGCAGAATTATCTGAAGCAACAAGCCCTTCAGGTGATTCTAATACACACTAAAATTTGAGAACCACTGTTTAAAAGCAACCCCAGATGACTCCAAGTGTAGCCAGGGTTGAGAACCCCTATGATAGACCAATGGTTTTCACGTTTTTTCCAAATCCCTAACATCTGTAAAACAGAAATCTGGTTGAATCAGGGTTCCAGTCCCTGGAGTTCTGCCCCACTAATTATCCCAGAATAGTTCAGTGCTTCGAAAAGGGAGATTACCTGTTATTCACTATTGTACTCTAGTGCCTAGCACCATGCTTGTAACATAATACGTGTTTGATACGTGTTTATTGATTCAAATCAATAATTCGTGCTTATGTGAACAGTTTGTTCCAGGCCCTATTTTCTCTGCTGTTTATTCTCCTTACAAGTCCTAGTTACCTTGCTGGCTAAAAAGCAGCAGGGACTTAGCTCTCACCCATAACCATCTGTGATGGTCCAGCCCAGGTCAGACCCTGATGGAATGGGACATGGGACTTGTACATTTTGAGGAGGAAAAGAAAAGTCAGGAGCATTGGACACAATTCACCTTGCCAAAGTTGGGGCCCTATGCAACCAAAGGGAAGCAGAAGGACGATAGACATCTGGTGAGTTCAGGAAGGACACAAAGGAAAAACAATTGTTTCTGGAAGGAGACAGGGTAAGATAAGGAAGCTAGCATGATCAGCCTACAAGTTGCTCTGGATCTTCTTTTTCAAAATCACCTACTTCCACCCGCCACCTCCCCACCCTCTATACACACATCTAATCTCAACTATTGCCTTGAAAAAAATAAAATAAGAAGTTGTTGTAAAATAGTTACTTCCTGGATAAAAACATTGCTGACTTGTAACTACTTGGGACACAAGTTAGATATCTACTTTTGTTCGAGGCAAAAGTGGTTGTTATGGATTGCATTGAGTGCCCCTGCCCCCAAATATGTGTTGGAATCCTAACCCCTATAGCTGTGGATATAATTTTATTTGGAAATAGAGTATTCTTTGTTATGTTAATGATGCCGTATCAGTCTAGGGTATGTCTTAAACCTAATCCTTAAGACTAATTACTGTTGAAATATAAAAATAACAGATGAGACACAGACAAGCAAGCAGAAACAAGGGAAAGACAGATGATATGTGAAGATCACCAAGGAACAGGGATGCTGGGGCTGGAGAAACTGAGACAAGCATATTCCCGAAGAGCAGACAGAGAGAGCCTTCCCCTAGAGCTGGAGCCCTGAATTCAGACTTTAGCTTCCTAAACTGTGAGAAAATAAATTTCTGTTTGTTAGAGCCACCCACTTGTAGTATTTCTGTTACGGCAGCAGTAGATAACTAAGATAGCGGTAAAAGGGCATATGATTTGATAAGAAGCCCTTTTTTAAAGATGAACACTGGATAGTTTCAAAATGTAGAGGTTTATGATATTTCTTCTTTAAGACCTCAAGGAACTTTATAAAATCAAAAAGGTATTCCCTACTTTCTCCAACATTTTATCAAAAGGAATATGATACAAAAAAATTTTTTTGGCTTTTTGCCCAATACATAAACACTTTATAGCTCTTTTTTAAGGATTCTGTTAATGAATGAGAGTACCAGAAGGATGTTTACCTGTGTTTTATTGACTATGCAAAGGCTTTCGACTGTGTGGATCATAACTAATTATGGATAAAATTGCAAAGAATGGGAATTCCAGAACACTTAATTGTGCTCATGAGGAACCTGTACATAGATCAAGAGGCAGTTGTTTGAACAGAACAACGGGATACTGCATAGTTTAAAGTCAGGAAAGGTGTGCATCAGGATTGTAACCTTTCACCATACTTATTCAATCTATATGCTGGGCAAATAATCTGAGAAGCTGGATTATATGAAGAACAGGGCATCAGGATTGGAGGAAGACTCATTAGCAATCTGCGAGATGCAGATGACACAACCTTGCTTGCTGAAAGTGAAGAGGATTTGAAGCACTTAACTGATGGAAGATCAGAGACCACAGCCTTCAGTATGGATTACACCTCAACATAAAGAAAACAAAAATCCTCACAACTGAACCAATAAACAACATCATGATAAAGGAGAAAAGATTGAAGTTGTTAAGGATTTCATTTTACTTGGATCCACAATCAACACCCATGGAAGCAGCAGTCAAGAAATCAAAAGACACATTACACTGGGCAAATCTGCTGCAAAAGACCTCTTTAAAGTGTTGAAAAGTAAAGATGTCACCTTGAAGACTAAGGTGCGCCTGACCCAAGCCATGATGTTTTCAATCGCCTCATATGCATGTGAAAGCTGGGTGATGAATAAGGAAGACCAAAGAAGAATTGACACCTTTAAATTGTGGTGCTGGCTAATAATATTGAATATACCATAGATTGCCAAAAGAATGAACAAATCTGTCCTGGAAGAAGTACAGCCAGAATGCTCCTTAGAAGCAAGGATGGTGAGACTATGTCTCACATACTTTAGACATGTTGTCAGGAGGGATCAGTCTCTGGAGAAGGACATCGTGCTTGATAAAGCAGAGGGTCAGTGAAAATGAGGAACACACTCAATGAGACAGATTGACACCTGTGGCTGCAACAATGGGCTCAAGCATAACAACGATTGTGAGGATGGCACAGGACCAGGCAGTGTTTCGTTCTGTTGTACATAGGGTCGCTGAGTCAGAACCGACTCGACGGCACCTAACAACAACAATTAATGAGTGGAGCCCTGGTAGCGCAGTGGTTAAGAGCTACGGCTGCTAACCAAAAGGTAGGCAGTTTGAATCCACCAGTCGCTCTTTGGAAACCCTATGGGGCAGTTCTACCCTGTCCTGTAGGGTCGCTATGAATTGGAATCAACTCAACAGCAACGGGTTTGGTTTTTTTGTTATTGTTCTTGTTAATGAATACCTAATGTAGCTTCCAGCTTGTTTTTTCCTTGTCTCACTTTTATTATGACAACAAGAGAAGAATTCCCACTGAAGTAGTTTGATTGCTGATTGGGGTATCTAGTTGTTTTTGTTGTTAGGTGCCATCAAGTTGGTTCTGTCTCATAGCAGCCCGATGTATAACAGAACGAAACACTGTCCAGTCCTGCGCCATCCTCACGATCGTTGCCATGTTTGAGCCCAGTGTTGCAGCCACTGTGTCATTCCATCTCTTTGAGGGTCTTCTTCTTTTTCGCTGACCCTCTACCAAGCATGATGTCCTTCTCCAGGGACTGGTCCCTCCTGATAACATGTCCAAAGTATGTGAGACAAAGTCTTGCCATCCTTGCTTCTAAGAAGCATTCTGGCTGTGCTGCTTCCAAAACAGATTTGTTCATTCTTACGTCAGTCCGTGGTGTATTCAATATGCTTCACCAACACCATAATTCAAATGCATCAATTCTTCTTTGGTCATCCTTATTCATTGTCCAGCTTTCGCATACATATGAGGTGATTGAAAATACCATGGCTTAGGTCAGGAGCACCTTAGTTCTAAAAGTGACATCTTTGCTTTTTAACACTTCAGAGAGGTCTTTTGCTGCAGATTTGCCCAATGCAGTATGTCGTTTGATTTCTTGACTGCTGCTTCCGTGGGCATTGATTATGGACCCAACTAAAATGAAATCCTTGACAACTTCAGTTCTTAGTCCACTTATAATGATGTTGCTTATTGGTCCAGTTGTAAGGATTTTTGTTTTCTCTGTGTTAAGGTATAATCCATACTGAAGGCTGTAGTCTTGTGTCTTTATCAGTAAGTGCTTCAAGTCCTCTTCACTTTCAGCGATCATGGTTGTGTCATCTGCATATCGCAGCTTGTTAATGAGTCTTCCTCCAACCCTGATGCCGTGTTCTTCTTGATATAGTCCAGCTTCTTGGATTATTTGCTCAACATAAAAGATTAAAAGGTAAAAGATGAAAGTATGGTGAAAGGATTCAACCCTGATGCATACCTTTTCTGATTTTAAACCATACAGTATCCCCTTGTTCTGGGGTATCTAATAAGAGCACAATTTCCCATATGCCTAAGCAATTTTTCTTCATTGTTAAGATAATTTTGTGGGGAGAGGGAGAATAATCATTAATTTAGGAACTGGTCTTCAGAATTAAGTACAAGTAGTCCCTAACTTGTGACATATTCGAGTTACGAGAAACTGTACTGAAGACTTTTTTTTTCCTGTATATCTTAACCTTAGAAATATGTGCTACATACAATGTTACAGAGCATAATTTGCTGATGTTATCATTCTCAGATGTTCACTGGCAGATGTTTATATGTAATGTTTCCGATCCCCAAAACAAATATAGGATTTATAAAGATGCTAATAATAAAAGGCAATAATAACGAAAACTAAAAAACAAAAATAAGTATTCGACTTAAGTCAGAACCAGCTTATGCTGGAGTCATCAGAACAGAACCCCATGGTAAATTGGGGACTACCTGTATTACACTACATCCACAAAATTAATATAAAAAACCTTCTCTTTACACACATACACTTGTTACTGCTTCGTTTTGTTCATGGAATTAAAATGAAACCAAACAGACTGAGGACTAACAAGGAGTGTGGGAGAGGAAGCACTTACTAAAACCAAATTTAAAAATATGAAGTAATTATTTCAGCAAAAGGCAATCTACTAAAGACCAGGGCTTCAGGGAAGTTAAGAGTCTTAAGTGTTTTTTCTTGCCATAAGCATGACTCAGCATTTGGA